TAATCTACTACCCACTGACCACCTTCCATACCCCAATACACTGTTTCTTGGATATAAATCTCCAACTTTTTCTTGTTGTGTTTGAAGTTGATCCCAGTGTGTTTCCTCTACTACAAAACCCCACCCATTGCTGTTGTTCCTACACCTATGGCAATAGTCCCCCTGAATCACGCTGGGCTTATTGTTCTTTAATAAGTGCCTGAATAATTTTTCTTTAGAAGTTCTTAACAAGGTCAAAGTGAGAGTGGCTCGGTCATGTCTGACTCTCTGTGACCCGATGAATTACACAGTCCATGGAATTCTCTAGGCCAGAATACTAGAATACTGCAGTGAGTAGCTGTTCCCTTCTCCATGGGATTTTCCAAACCCAGGGACTGAAGCCAGGTCTGCCATATTGCAGGGGGATTCTTTACCACCTGAACCACCAGGGAGGCCTCTCTTCAAACTCATTGCTCAGCTCTTAACCCTGGTGTCTCTTCAACTGCTGCATGGCAATCAGCTATTCTTGAGACTCAGATTTCCTTTCCTAAATTCATTTAAATCGCCCTTCATACCTCCGCCAGCCTTTTCCTAATCCATTTATGTTGCAATTTATATTCAGATCTAAGCTTCACAAATTTTGCATTGGATTATTTATTAATCATCTCCTTTGCTTTGTTCAAATCAGAACTCAGATAAAGCCTCCAAAATGTGTTTGAATGATATGTCTCTTTTTTTCCAAAATCATTCTTAAAATGAGATTTAATTCATGTACCTAATATGTCTTTTAAATATTTAAAAATCTATAGCAGTTCCTCCTTCCCCTTTATTTCATGCTGTTTGTTTTTTTTTGAAGATTTCTCAACGTCTTGTAGATTTCTCAACTTCTGAATCCTTGTGGTATTATTAACATGTTTCTCTCTTTTTTTCCCCCTGGGAATTGGTGGTAGTTTTCATAGTTTATACATAGGTTTCTTTCTCTTACTCTCTCCCTTCCTTTTTTTCTTTCTCTTCCTTCCTTCTCTCTCTCCTCCTTTTCTTTTCTCCTACTTTCCTCCCCCTCCTTCTTTCTTTCTTTTGGAGCTTAGTCACTTCTCCTCCAAGAATCATCTCTTTTTTTGCTCTCAGTGGTTGCTTCTTTTTCAGACACTTGTAGGATTTACCTGTCACTTTATCCATGAAATCATTTTCACTCCTATTCCTAAAAAGACAGGCACCCTATTCTGAATACAGGGGATATAGGTGGCTCATCACTGCTGTTTCCCCCATAGCTAGCACATAATGTGGCTGGCACAGAGTAGGTGCTTCACAAATAGCTGTTGAGATAAATGAACATAAAGTATAAATCACACACCAGTTATCTGCTGCCTAACATTTGCCACCTTGGTTGTGGCTTCTCATTGTGCTATAAGCCCTGACTCAGCTTCTGAACTTTGAGCCTCTTGAGGGCAGGAAGGATGTCAGATACGTTCTTGTAGTCTGGGTACCTAACAGAATACCATGTTCATAACCAGTGCATTTTTACTTTGAACGTTTTTAACAGTTACAGCAAAAATAAAAAATTTGGTTCATATATATGAAAAGTCCAAGGATATCTGACTTCAGATATGGTTGGAATGGGGAGCTGAAACAATGTTACTGTTCTTTTCTTTTCTCAAGTTGGCTTGTTTCTGCTTCCTTTTGTTGATCTTGTCTCATTTTCTCTCATTTTTTATCAGCTTCACTGCTGATCAAAAATGGCCATTTCTCTGTGGCCATAAGTAATAAGCTCTAGGTTTCCTTTCCTCCAGCACTGTGCTTCTAAGATCAGACAGTCTTCCCAAGATGCCCCAGAAGCAGAGTCTCAAGGAGGACTTCTAGTCACGGTAGGACACTGTGTCCATCCCTCAAGGAATCACCATGGCTAGGAAAATGGCCCCCCTGATGGGTCAGGACCAGTCTCATAGCTATTCCCACAGGGTAGCAGATGGCACTGTCATCAATAACCTGACCATAGGTGATGAAAAGAGTCGTTTTCCTGGACCGAGTAGGATGAGATCAGAAGAAAAGGTGAAGGAGAAAAAAATAGCAGCTATCTGTGTGCACCTCAGGGCAAGCTTACTTAGTTGGAGCTAAGTTCAGGTGTCTTAGCTTTCCTGACAGTTTATTCCCTTTTGGGTTTGTGATCCCTTAGGTCTAGCAGGTCGCTGTGGGATATAATGACAAAATGGACTATTTCATTATAATTCAAAAAGACCTTTGCTCCTCGGAAGAAAAGCTATGATCAACCTAGATAGAAAACTAAAAAGTAGAGACATTACTTTGCCAACAAATGTCCGTCTAGTCAAAACTATGTTTTTCCAGTAGTCATGTATGGATGTGAGAGTTGAACTATAAAGAAAGCTGAGGGCCGAAGAATTGATGCTTTTGAACTGTGGTGTTGGAGAAGACTCTTGAGAGTCCCTTGGACTGCAAGGAGATCCAACCAGTCTATCCTAAAGGAAATCAGTCCTGAAAATTCATTGGAAGGACTGATGCTGAAGCTGAAACTCCAGTACTTTGGCCACCTGATGCGAAGAACTGACTCACTGGAAAAGACCCTGATGCTGGGAAAGATTGAAGGTGGGAGGAGAAGGGGATGACAGAGGATGAGATGGTTGGATGGCATCACTGACTCAATGGACATGAGCTTGAGCAAGCTCCGGGAGCTGGTGATGGACAGGGAAGCCTGGTGTGCTGCAGTCCACGGGGTTGCAAAGAGTCGGAAATGACTGAGCGATTGAACTGAGCTGAACTGAACCCGAAGTCCTTGATAGCCTTTGAAGGTCAATGGACTAAAATTAGGCACAAGAATCTTGTTTTCATCCACATTTTCTGTGGAGCAGGTCAGTGGCCTTCCTCATATTAAAAGGTTTCCAGTGAACCAAAAGATTAAGAAGATTCCAGTGTTTCTCAATACAGGTATGGATGATATTTAGATAAGAAAGTTTGTCATTGTGCAAGACATAAAGAGTCTCTAGCCCATACCCCTTAAATTCCTGTAACACCCCCATGTTATTATGATATTCACCCCCTCCGAATGGTAGTAATGTTAGTTGCCCAGTCATGTTCAACTCTTTGAGACCCCACGGACTGTAGCTTGCCAGGCTCCTCTGTCTATGGGATTTTCCAGGAAAGAATACTGGAGTGGATTGCTATTCCTTTCTCCAGAGGATCTTCTCAACCCCGGGGATCAAACCTGGGTCTCCTGCATTGCAGGCAGATTCTTTACCATTTGAGCTACAGGGAAGTCCATATTCCAGTCATCTATAGTTGAGAAACAAGATAAGACTACAAGTCTAGTCTCAATGTTTCTTGCATGTTTTACGTTTCCTCTTCTTTCTGTCAGAGAATAACTTTTTTTTTAAACTTCTAATGTCTAATTTCCAGTAGTATCTGTCATGGAATCTGGGATCCTATTTCATGAGCACAAAAAGCCTATTTTCCACAGGGGTGTTCAGGTTCTGTAATATTTTACTGGTACGGTCCTAATGTGATGTTTCATCCAAGGCAAACTAGCAAACAGCCAACTCCTGGGAGGTACCGGTCATTAGTCTAGCCTCCTTAGAATTTTCTCGCAGGATGATCATTTATTACTTTTGAAAGGACAAACTCACAGATGAAGTGTTAGTCTAAGCAATATCTTCAAGAGCTGACAAATAAAACAATGACCACTGAGCAGCATTTTTATAGATTACAGATCATTCTCTTGCATTTGACCTCGAAACATCTTCAAAAAACAGATTTTGCAATCTCCTTTTTTATAGATGAAGAAATGAAGGCTTCTAGGAATCAAGTGACAAGCTCACGATTACACAGCACTTTAGAGAAGGACTCGGGATTTCAACTGTGGGTCTTAGAACTTTAAAAAGCCACCCTCTAACTCTCTGCTTCCTCCCTGGTGCCTTCAAACACTTTTAAAAGAAAGAAAAATACCCTACTGGAACTAATCAGAGGGAAAGACTGTAAGTTCAAATGAGCCATAACAGTGTCTGTTAATCTGTTACCTAAGTGAGTGCCGGGAAGCTGTGGTGGGGGTGGGGGGAGTTGACACTTGTACATTTTATGTGCCCCACAACTTCACTCCTGTAAAGTTAGGACGATTTCATTTGAAGTCCCAGCCAACTGAGAAATTAAAAGCAGGCAGTGACGACGCTGTTTTGTAACTTTGTGCCCTTTTAAAATTAACTGCACCTTTCAAGTGCCGCTTTGGATTAAAAGTGGCTAATTGGGCAAAGGGGAGAGGCATTCAGCTGGATGAAGAGTATTGTAAAAGCACTGACTGAGTTAGTTACAGGAAAGGGACGCACAAGAACAGTTTCCACAGTGCTGTTTTACTTACAGAGTGAAGGAAAGTTCCTCCACGCAGTTCCAAATCGAGGACAGGTTGATTTGTCGCAGCAGCGCTGTAATACATGCAGCCTGATATAAAGTATATTTGAGAGAGACTTGAAGGCTGAAACTTTCTAGTGCCAAAACCCTTTACTATTTTTTTTTTTTTTAAATAAGGACTTGGCGTGCCCTCGCGAATGTGTGAGCTTGGAGGAGTGATGGTAGGAGAACAAAGCTGAGTCCATTCTTACTAATATTAAATGGTCAAGTCTGTACCCTTGAATCTAGTGGAGAGGGAGAAGGGAGAGGAGCTGCTGACATTGACAATGAATCCAAACAGGAGTTGGACTAGCGGTGTCTACCACGTTGCCGCTGCCCTCGCTTAGCCTTCTGGGAATTGTAGTTTTGTGGCGAGCGGCTCTCTTGGCAAGTCGGGTATACTCGGCCCGGCTGTGACTACAGATCCCAGACGGCGCCGGGCAGCCGCCCCTCCCGTCCCGGTTCGAGTGTAAACTCCGGGCGCCGGGGCGGGCGGCCGCGCGCGGGCCAGCGGGCTGAGCTCTGCACGGCTTGGGGGCGCACCGCTCGGGGGACCCAGGCCTCGCCACCTCACCTCCGCCCCCGGGCTCGGTTCTCACTTTGGAGCAGTGCGAGGACGGGAAGCTGGAGCCATGCAGTCGGAATCGGGGATCGTGCCTGATTTCGAAGTCGGGGAGGAGTTTCACGAAGAGCCCAAAACCTATTACGAACTCAAAAGTCAACCCTTGAAGAGCAGGTGAGTGGTGACAGCTGCAGGGAGGCGCGGCCCGCACCTGGAGGACCCGTTGCCTCCCACTCTGAGGCGAGGGAAGCGGCTGGCCCGGACTCTGGGACAAGGACCCCGTGCCCTTGCCCCGGGGCAGAGGGCGAACTGACCCCCCCACAGTTGGGGGCCGTGCCGGCCGGCCAGGTGCACCAATGAGGGTCTCCGCCCGAGCGCATTTTGGGGGCGCGGCGGGCAGCGCCGGACAGCCGAGGGGACCCCTCGGTGGGGGATTCCAGCAGCGGAGAGCGGGTGGGGGCTGGGGAGTGCCCCGACGCGGAGGTGGGGGAGAAGGAGCGCCGGGCCGGGACGCGGTCTGGGTGAGTTTCGAGTGGACCCCTTTTCTGAAAATCCCAGGGGGCTGAGAACTTGGGAGAGGGAGAGCTTGCGGTGGGATCGAGCGCGGTGTTCGCTCCTGTGTTGTCGGCCGCTTAGCAGTCGGACCCCTCTGGGAAAACCGACCTCGGGCCGCCTCCAGGTGAGGTTTCCCGAGCCCCGCCCCTGACCTTCCCGGCCCGGCACCCTGGTGCGGGAGGGGCGGGGTGCCAGGTGGGGGGGCGTGTCTCCTCGGCCAGGTGGAACTCCCGGGCTTTGGGGTCCCATTCAAATGCAGGCCTTCCCTGGAGGGGCAAAAAACTTTGAGACGGAGATTTAGTGAGTGACCGCTCTTGGGCCGCGACACGTCTTGAATTCTCTGGGCGCTTCTAAAACTGTTCGGGAGGAGAGTGAAGACACCTGCTGGTCTGGCGTCGCACCAGCCCTAGTGCCCGCTTCTTAGGCTGCGTCCATTCCTGCTTGTCCCTTGGAGCAGGTTGGGTGTCTTCATTCCTCTCTGTCTTGCGGCCACTCTGGACATTTCCAGTGTTTACCAAGAGAGAGGTGGTCCGTTGAGGCGGTGAGAGTTCCACCCCTCAGTTGTGAGGTAGCATGCGGGTGTAACCGGACGCTTCAGCGGTGCTTTTGCATCCTCAAACCTCCCTGCCCGCCCCTCACCGTCCGTAGTGTCTGGGTGAAGGGGCCTGGCTGACAGAAGGGGAGAAGGGCCTGAAATGGTGGTGAAGGAAGGACTGAATCCGGAGTGAAGGGGTGTGATCATAGCTGCTGGGGCACCGGGGACTGGTACTTGTGCAGTTAGGTTCGTTTCCTTCAGGGCTGTCAGGCTCTGAATCCACTTTGGGGAAGAAAATCTGCCAGGAGCACACCGACTGACTGGTGGCTGAAGTAGCCTCTTGGCAGCTGCTTCACGGAGATTGGAAGGAAACCTTCTATGCAGTTAGTTGCCTAAAACCAGCCTTTAGTTGGTGGTTTCTCTTCATAATGGCTGTTTTGTGTGTGAGCCTAGATTGTGTGTGTTGGGGGTTGGGGGTGTGGAGTAATAGTGTGTAAAGGGTATTGTTGGTTATGCTCATTGGGGCTTTATCTGTATTCGGCTGAAGGGACCAGTGTTTTACCGAGCAGTCTCTGCTTTTGCTTCTATAAGCAAATGCTTACACGGCCAGAATGAGGGAGGGAGTGTGTGTGTGTGTGTGTGTGTGTGTGTGTGTGTAGTCCTGAAAGAAATGAATTAACCGGACTGTTTGGAACATTTTTGATGGTAGCTGATACATAACATTAAATAAATTTGAGAGAGTGAGGAAAATACCATCTGGAAAAACCCAGATGAATGCCATGAAACTCACGTTGGAGGATTTGGGGCCTGTTCTTTTTCAGAGTTGGCAAAAAAAAAAAAAAAAAGACTTGCAAGGGTTGAGCATCCTCAGGAGCTAGCTTGCACGTGTAAGGAAAATTTCGGGGATGTGGGAAGCGCTGGTTTCACACGTTGAAGCTGGAAACAGGTGCAGGATGGAACCGGTGCACAGAGGAAGGCTAAATTAAAAAAGTTGTAAAACTTGTCTGTGGAGCAGACACATGCTCTTTGAAATAAACCAGTGAAAAAAATCTGTGAATAAATATATGGGGTTGGCAAAATTTCCCTATAGTACAGTTCTCCACAGTTGTCTGATGTATTGTCATCGACATCTGTTGTGTGACTTTACAAGGGCTGCATGTTCAGGGCCTCCTCCTCGTGTCTTTTTGTCTTAAGTCTTTGCCTGGGCACCTCCCTTCTTATAATCTTGGTTGGAAAAAGTTGAAATCAGAAGGGGAATATGGCTGCAACTGCCTCGTCTATCAGTTGTATTTTCTGGATTGTCTTTTGGAGTTGAAGATACGTCTAGAATCCTCCTGAGAAAGAAAACTGTGAATTGCTGAGTTGTGTCCAACTCTTTGCGACCCCATAGCCTGTAGCCTGCCAGGCTCCTCTATCCCTGGGATTCTCCAGACAAGAATACTGGAGTGGATTGCCATTCCCTTCTCCAGGGGATCTTCCCAACCCAGGGATTGAACCCCGGTCTCTTAACATCTCCTGCATTGGGCAGCTAGGTTCTTTACCACTAGCACCACCTGGGAAGCCCAATTTACTAGGCTATTGATTTCTTTATTCTCTAAACTGTAAAGCTATTGTTTAATAATCGAGTGAAAATTTTTCACTCTTCCCAACCCAGGGATTGAACGTGGGTCTCCTGCATTACAGCCAGATTCTTTACCCTCTGAGGCACCAGGGATGCCCCTAGCATCTGCCTACTTGTCACCAACTCCTCCGCTCCCACTTTGGTTCAGACTGCCACCTGGCCTCGCTGTCTAATTATCTCCTACCCGGTCTCCTACCTTTATCTTTGCTGCCTCTCTGTGGATTTTTCAACACAGGAGCCACAATGTCTATGTTAAAACTGGTTTTCAACCTGAATGGTGGCTTGCCCCACTCAGGGGTTGTTCAGCAATGTCTGGAGACATTTTTGGTTGCTACAGTGGATGAGAATTACTACTGGCTTCTAGTAAGTAGAGAGTGGAAATGCTGCTGAACATTCTCCAGTGCTCAGGACAGTCTCACAATGAAGAGTCATCTGTCCCCAGATTGTTACTGCTGAGGTTGAGAAACCTCATGGTAAATGTATCACATCATGTTCTCGCTTCAGAACCCTCCCTGGTATCAGTAAAACTCGAGACCCTTAACGTGGTCCAAGGCAGACCGCTTTATGGGCGGGCTCCCTGTCAGCGCTGACTTGCTGCTCTCCTGGCTTCCTCTGCTGCAGCCAGCCTCCACACCATTCCCGGAACACTCCAGACCTCTCCACCTCTGGCCCTTTGTAAGCTGCACTTGCTGGGGCCAGCAAGTGCACTTTCTGTCTTTGTCCGGAGAGCAGTAGCGTTCATTCCCTCCCCAGCTGACTTCATGTCTTCCCTTAAATGTCATCCCTGCCTTGAACACACTCTGTACTGTGTCTCTCCCTCTAAACTCTGTCCATTCCCCTGCTCGCTTTTTCTGCAGTACTTACATTATGACCCAGTCTATCATTTTCTAATGGGTTCCAGGTATGCTGTGTTTCTCTGTACTAGATTGCAGGGTCCAAGGGGACAGGGATTTCTGGGTCTTCCTGGTTTACTGTGGTGCCCCCAGAACCTCGAACAGAGTTTCTTCATCGTCAGTGCTGTTGACTCTTTGGACTGGATAGATCTTTGCTGTGGGGGCAGTCCTGGGCATTGCAGGATGTTTAATAGCATCCCAGGCTTCTACCTGCTCAAGGCCATAGCATCCCTCCTCAAGTTGTGACATCCAAAAATATGTTCAGATGCCACCAAATGTCCATGGGACATAGACTCACCCCTGTTGCAGATTAACAGGCCTAGAACAATGCCTGGAACAATAGTGTTTTGTTGTTTGACTATCTGTTGTTTTCTCTCTTTGTATTCGATTCCGGATGGGCCGTTTGATTCTGGTTTTTGCATTCAAGGCTGCCTTCCTTTTAAAATAGGTATCCACCACGCTGTCTCCAAAGAGGAGTTTATATAGTCTTCATTTGGACTAGGCTTAGATGTGCAAGTGTTTGATGAGGAAAGACAGTTTCATTCCTAACCCAGACCTCCTAGACTTTAGGAATGTGAAGCCAGTGGATTTAGGTGATGGAACCCCGCTTTGGTCACAATGACTGGAGAAGCTGTGTCATAGAGAGACACACACACAAGAGAAAGGGGTCTCCTGAAGAAATGTTTGTAGTTTGGTTCCTCCCCAAAGGTTTTTGAAACCTTGGTGTATTCTCCTGGAAATGAGCCGCGAATGGTTGGGTGGCAGAGGAAAGGTGCCAAATATGAGAGGGTGAACCCAGATATCACACATGAGCACAGTCAGGTCAGGGTCAGATGTGGAACCATTGAATGGGTCCCTTTCAGGGAAGGGACTCTCTGTAGGGCTTTAGGTCCTGAAAAAAATTTTTTTAAAAATATGTTAGCATCTTTCAGGTTCATGGTTCTTTTGTTTTGTTTCAGTTCAATTCAGTTCAGTTGCTCAGTTGTGTCTGACTCTTTGCGACCCCATGAATTGCAGCATGCCAGGCCTCCCTGTCCATCACCAGCTCCCAGAGTTTACTCAAACTCATGCCCATCAAGTCGGTGATGCCATCCAGCATCTCATCCTCTGTCGTCCCCTTCTCCTCCTGCCCCCAGTCCCTCCCAGCATCAGGGTCTTTTCCAGTGAGTCAACTCTTCTCATGAGTTGGCCAAAGTTTTGTCGGTGCTAAATTCTCTGGCTTTGTAGCTGCTAATGCCCTTTTCCTGGACAGACTTCAGAATTGATTTAAACTAATTCCAGTTTCTCCTCAAAGTTTTAATAATGGTTTAGATAATGGTGCTTTAACTTCCCACAAATTAGAAATGGGAATGAAAGGGAGTATTAGGTTTATATTGGCAGGATGAGATAGAGCAATGGTTCCCAGATGCTGATTCAGAGAGAGGTGTGTGAAATTGTTGCAGATTTGTATTTAGATGAGAAAGAAAAGATGGTTGTGTCAAACTCACGCTCACATGCATGGATTTCCATGTAAAACCACCACCATTTCTTGGATTTATTCTGAGATTTTTCCTTGGTTTCCCAAGTGGCA